AAGAGTTGGAGGTGGGTGGTGATGACTAGCTGCCTTCCCTCTAGTCTTACACTGCTAAATTTGGGACGGCTAGCGCAGATAACCCTCGTGTAGCTTTGCGCGAAATTCAAAAACAAACAAACAATTCTTTATTCTAAGAGCTTAACTGTAGGTAATATTTCATTTAGTGTGAGAGAGGTGACAGCTTTTATAATGAAAGTATTATGGTCTGTCTGTAGGTCAGTGTGTAAAATTCCATCTTTTAGATAAACGGTGTCGTCAAGAAAGTTAATCTGAGTAGGCGAATAATCATAGATAAACTTGATTGTTTTGTGAACGTTTCCATGTATGAGGTTTTACAGGGTTAAGTTATAAAAGCTGGTTTTCAATATGACCCATCAAAATGTTGGCATAATTGGAGTCATTTTGGTACACATAGTGGTACTGTTAACCTGAATGTAATGCTCGTTATTGAATTCAAAGTTCTTCAGAGCTACAACCAGGCTTGCAAGATCAATTACTGTTTGAGATTCTGATTGTTTAGAAAGATTTAAGGCGGACTTTAGAGTTTGTAGTCCTTCATCATGTGGAATATTGGTGTAAAGGGAAGAAACATCCATCGTGCAAAGAAGACTGTTGAGTGATAACTGTCCGTTAGTATTAATATCTTCTATGATGTTAAGAAAGTGAGTAGTATACTTTATGTAAGAGGGGAACATTTTATTTGTTGGTCAACAAAAGTGGACAGCTCTTCAGTAGCCATGTTTATATTAAAAATGATGGGTCGAACAGGATTGTTCGGTTTGTGTATTTTGGGTAAGAGATCTAATCTACCAGAAATAGCTGTTACTGAAAGGTCTCTTTATTAATTTTATTGTTTTGAAGGAGTTCTTTAAGCTTATCAGATTCATACCTGTTTTTGTTATAAATTAATTAGCATAACATATTTTTTCAATGAATCTCCAGATGTCACATCTATTTTACTTAAACACTTAAGTATAGTTTTAAATATACTTATATTTACCCATTTTTAAAGTAAAACATCCCTAACAGCTTTTCACATACACC